GCCGTTCGGCTATCCCGGCATACTAGGAGGGGGTCTGCTCGAAAGGTTAAAGCGTTCTACTAGTGATTTGTGCCGGTGTCTTGGGTGCAGCTGCAGTAAGGATCAACCAAGTCGCGTATCTTGTAATCTTAGTCGCTCTACTCTTCCACAATATCTATTTCCTAGAATAGCGTCTTGGCGCTGTATCTGATGCACGTCGGCAATAGTATGCTGCTCTATTCCTGTCATCAAATAGAACACGAGGTTAAGATCATGGTAGTATAGTATACCATCGGTGCTATAATGGCCAGTTGTAGAACATATTATTGCATGATTTTTTTGAACTTAATAGCCACTCGTTACAGACGGAAGCTAGAAGCTCTTGTGGAGCTGGCAGGGAAGTTGAGACAACTTGCTTGAGATGAATGAATGATCAGTGGGATCAGTGATGTAACATGGGTGTGTACACTCTACTGTGTACAGTATACATGATGGGCCCTCTATGAATGGTGCAGGCGCTGAACTTCTACGCCAGTTCTTTGCCCTAGCAAGGGTAGAACGTCGGTTACAGGATCCCTCCGTACATCGCCTGTCCATGCTCTTACGGGAAGCCCGTATCCGACGCCGGTTAGCTAGTGTCATTGAATCTTGGACAGTAGCTTCCTTGTCTAGGCAGTAAGATTGGCGTGAAACACGCGCGAATTTCAGAGATCGCCTAATGTGGGTGGTCTTTCCGTCTTGGATCTTAATTATTACTAGTAGTACTTAGCGGCAGTTGTCTCGGTCTCGTGTCAGCGTCGGCGTTCTCCTTTTTGGATCGGCCCGGTTTGTCAGATCACCATGGGACGATGGGTGCATAAGTCAACGGACATAGCTCTGCAATGTGACTGCAACACAACAATTGACACACACTACGTGACTAGTTTTGGAGATAAGCGACTTTTGCTAGCAACAAGGCAGCAGCTCGCCTACTTCAAGAATGTAACAGCCTTGTAATGTTGTGACAGCAAAGCATCCTTACACAAATGCCACCGTACCATCACTTACCTCCCAAAACTGCTTTTGACAATTGAGCGTCATTTGTCTCACTATTACTGGGACTAGAGTTGACAAAATACACAGATGGCCTATGCTCACAATATCAGGGTGCGACTCGGATAATCCTAACACTACCACATGATCTAGACCCGTCTGTGTTCAGGGAGCCATGTACATTTTAAATATACGCTATCCATCTCTGCGAAGATCCGGCAGACCCAGCAAAGTAGACATCCATGGTTCAGTCTTACAAACAGCATACTCCAGTAAGCCTCCAACGACAGAGTACGGATTGACTGTCTGTGCTAACTCAAGAAGATCATTGCCCCACCTTTGGGCAGTCATTCCAAACTGCTGATACAACTGCCGACGATTCTAGAACTCAGGGCATAGTAATAAGCATATGTATATAAGCCTTGTGAATTTTTGGAGTTGCAGGGCAAGAGATATATCAACCTCATCTTCTACATAACATACTTTAGCCTTTCTTTGAAACCAATGATCGCTATCTTTGAATCCTGATCATCGTATATATAACAAAATCACAACAATGCCAGCTCACATGATGGCTCGAAGACCGGTAGGGAGACTACTACAGATAGTGCCCAGGTCTAGTCAGTCACGAAGGCTAGGGACAATGGTCGATTATAGAGGTTCCACGATGCCGCCTGGTCACAGAGCAACAGTGTGTCATCTCCAGACGTTTGAATTTCCCGAATCTCTCAGTGGAAATGTAGCAGATAAAGCTTTGGGAAAAAGCATGATTGATGCTTGGAGGAAAGACGGTATTCTGCAAATCTCCATGGACCCTATCAACCGCAAGCTCGCTGATGCAGCATTTCTTTGCAGCAAGAAGTTCTTTAGTCTAGACTACAACAAGAAGGCTTCTTGCCTGGATGATCAGTCTTTCGCTGGCTACATTGCGTCGGGTGAGGAGATCACAGATAATATCGCCGACTATAGCGAGATCTTCACTGTCACCAAAGATCTTACACTTTCTGATTTCCGTGTCCAGCAGAAGTGGCCATGCCACGGACCCTGCCCATGGCCATTTGGTCAGATGAAGACTGTCATGCAAGCCTATATGGATTACCTTGGTGAGAGTGGCGAGAAGATGCTGCAGCTCATCGCCTGGGGGCTTGGTATGGAGGATGGCAATGCCCTCACAAGGTATACACAAGACGGCTGGCACCATATGCGCATCCTGCGTTTCCCCGAGGCCAATAACGTAAATGGCAAGGGAAAAGCGGGACGTGGAATCGGCTCGCATACCGACTACGGACTACTTGTAATTGCCGCTCAAGATGACGTTGGCGGTCTCTTTGTCCGCCCTCCGATTCAAGGTGAAACGTTTGCAAACTGGAAGGAGAGTGCAGCTGGTAAGCACGAGGATGCCGATGGCTGGGTCTATGTCCCACCCGTACCTGATGTCTTCACCGTGTTTCCCGTAAGTTCGATCCACCTGCGAATGGTTTGTGAGATGTTCCTGCTGACAAGCATGCGAGGGCGATATGATGCAATACATCACCAACTCCTTCCTTCCCTCCACACCACACAAAGTTGGTCTCAATACTCGTGAGCGCTTCGCGTTCGCTTACTTTCATGAGCCAAACTTCTCTGCCGTTATGAAGCCACTACCAGGCTTCGAAGCTAAAGAGGATCCTATTAGTGGAATCCACTACGGAACTCATTTTACAAACATGTTCATGAGGAACTATCCGACAAGGATTACCGCTGATCGTATAAGAGCCGAAGAAAGAATGGCCCTATTAGAATCGCCAAGTCTTCGCGAGTTATCGCTCTAACGTAATCTCTTACAAACACATCGATGATCAATTATTCTCTTAAATAATATCTATATACATGCCCCTCAGACATATGCGTATGATGGTCTATTCAGAGATTGAAGTTATGAATTATTCTCAACCATTGATTCACTGCTCATGATAGGTGATCATAACAGGACAAGAGTAGCTATAGAATTACTAGGTTCCTAGTAAACTGTAGTAGATTGTATTCGTTGACAATAGAGTCTTGTCTACGTCCCGCCCATACACTAGGCACGCTCTGTGATACTAGCCGCTGGAATTACTAAATCGCCCAGAGTGTCCAATCACCAACAAGATCATATCTAAGAGCAATAGAAACAGTCTTTATCCCATCATTATCTGGTAACCAAGGCTAGAAACTAAGTCAGACTCTATGAGTTATCGAAAAAGAAGTCACTATTAGAATTGTAATCACGTACACTGTGTTTCTACCCCTAACCCAACGTGTAGTTGACGTCGCTTAGCATGTAGTATTGGTTGGCTTGCAGCAAAACTAGAAGACAGATAGGCCGGTAGAGCCAGAGCACTCCTTAGAGTACCCTGGTCTGCATTTCTCCTGCGTAGCGGGGCGGAGGTAGCAGCCGCTGTTACCACTCTCTTCCTAAGGAAGGGCGAAGCCAGTTGTAACGAGGCTAGTAAAGAGAAGGGCGTAAAGTTTAAATTACATCATAATAATGTTTTGTTTCTTAGGGAGCTAAGTCGTTAAGAGAAATAGGATTCAGAATAGGTTGGGGGATAGGTCGGATAGAGATGGAGAGTAAGTTTTAAGCAGCCCATTCGAAGGCCAAAACCTAGCTTCTTTATAGGAAAGATAGGCTCGTATTTCTCATGCAACCAAGGTGATAGCCAGATAAAATCTCAGAATAGTACAGAATAATCATTACCTTATCCCCCCTTTCTCCGTGTTCAATTGTGAGTCGGCATATCCAGCCCCCACAGGGAACGTAGACCTCATTCATCCACCCAAATTTCCTCTCGCGGAGTGCTATAGCCGTAGTCTTTTCTCCACTCTAGGGACTAAGAACTACTTTAAGTAGAGATATCTTCGCCCAACAGCGAGTTCCCGAACTGAAAGTTACCAATCAGGTGCAACAATGTTTATCAGCATTAACCTAGCAGAAATTCTAGTACTTATCTTTAAATTCGAACTCTACGTGACAAACGAATAAGGGACACGCAGCGCGGGCGAGGTGACTAGTTCGGTAGCTTTCCAAACATTAAAGTTATACAGCAGTGCAAAAGCAAGATTTATTAAATTAATTTAATAGCAAAGCACTAGAGAAAACGATTTTCTATTTAAAAGAGTACGTACGTAAGTAATAAGTAACTCTACCTTAAGTAATTTAGCTAATCTCTAAAGAGCTAGTACTAATTAAGAAGGTATCTATTAGTTAATTTATGTCTCTAGACGCGGGACCTATAGAAATGCTTAACGCTTACCCTACTCTAACTTATACCTTATCTAGTTCTCTCCTATCTCTTATCTAACTTAAATAACTATTAAGTATAGATTGGTATAATAGTTTAAACTAGATTACACGTGGTACTTTTAGCAATATCTTAAAACCTATGTACTGCATAATAGAAAAGATAGCAGGTTTTTTAAGAAGGTGAAGAGTAAAAGCAATACCTAGATACTTCTCTCTTAGATACACTATAGAAATCGAAGTACGTAGATGATATACTGAAACGAGTAAAGGTAGTAGATACGAATTGTGAAACCTATGGGGCATGTCTTGTACGTTGCTTACTACTTCGTATTATATTGTAGGTCAACATCTAATGTCGTATCTTATTAAGAGTAGGAAAAAAGTCATCCTCTGTGATCTCTTGAGTGCCTATACCTGCCGCCTGATTGAGCATCCTTTAATAATACTATTCTTATTGTTATAAACAGCCTATATCTAGTGGCTGTGGAAGGTGCGTCGTACATAGGGGGAATAAAGCGGCGGGTATGCAATAGAGTTCATAGTACTCTAAATGTTCTCGTGTGGTATAACATCTATGGCCGTCAGACAATAGAAGCCTCTATAGTTCTTTCGCACAAGTCTCTGTTTATTTCCTAAAATGCTAAATTTAATGCAAAGCTGTTAGATCTATCGTATAGCCTGAGAGTGTATTGTTGATGAAGCAATCTTTAGGAGGATCAATTGCCTAATAATCGAGAATTGATGTGCCGTCAACGATAATCGCAGGTGCTATTTTAGAGCTAGGCGCGGAAATACACTCTACAAGGATAATGGTTGCTTGATTGTTAGACGTTGGGATAAGGACGTTGCGTCCATGTTGCATGTAGAGAGCCTGCCTCTTCAAAATGCTAATCTGGATGCTAGTCTCCTCTATATTGTACAGATCCTCATCCTGTATACCGAGGAAGTCTATAAGCTCTGTTAACTGTGTCAACTATCGTTGCAAGGCCTCTGGGTCCTGTGCTAGCTTGCGTGCAAGCTTAATTGGCTGGCTTTTTCGTCTTGTATGTTTCGTATACCGCCTATACCAACGATGAGCCTAGTCCTGGCCAACAACAGGCGGCTCTTTAGGAGCTGCTTTTAGGTTGAAGAACTAGTAGGTTATAAAAACGGGCTAAATAGTCTTTAGGATAACTATTATCGCATCACTTTACTTCACTTGTATGAGAAAGACACGTAAGTGTGGGAGGAGAAATACGCCAATTTTAGCTTAGGCAGAGATATTGTGGCCCGATGAGAAAAGAGAGTTTTGAATGTTCAACATAGATTAACATTGCGTGCATCGAGTGTGCCGTACTTTCCGGATCTCGGCTGGGGCCTTGTTGGATGGTGTGACCGAAACTGCAAGGCTTATGTAGATCTAGTCCATCATAGCCTTGGCAAGGTAGTGGCCCATGTTTCTGTTTGGCGGGCTCGCACGATCCTTCCTCCAAGCGATGCCATGATCCCACTTTGATTAGAAGATGTGATATTTTAGAAGTTTCTCCAACAAGCTTGTTGTTGGAGGTTGAAGCCGGACGCCTAACAGTGGCGGAAACGTGATGTCATCGATTAGTGTTGACATCAGTTGACTCTAAGAGGGCGTTAGGCATAAGAGAGCATTGTATAAAAGAAGGTCTGATCATGAAGGTGATTTGGAAAAACTGAATGAGTCCTGCACGGTGGCTTTTAACATGTCGCACCATGTGAAATACTCAGTACTGGCTTCTTTGCTAGCAACGACACCCCATGCTCAATCCTCTTCCAACTCCGGCTCTCAGACGTTGACATGCGACGATCTCTCTGGAGGCCTCGCATACTATGCTTCTGTCACCCACAATACAACGGCTATAAAATTTGCCTATCTTGGGGCCAACGATGGTGTGACTATCTCAAGAGACGATACGGCCACTTGGAAGATCTCATCCCGCATTGGGCCTGCATATGATAGCGATGGTGTCATGTCCAGTGAAAACCAAACGCAAACTGTTCTATGGCTTGATACTGAAGACACAGACATGGAGCGTCTGGGCGACCATATCGGCCTGTGCCACAACTATATTCCGTTGCAGGACCACCGGACTGGGAATATGACGTGGAGTAGAGAAGTCTTGGAGAGGTCGCAGCAAGATAATGGGGATTGCAAGACGATGCTAGGAGAAGATTGTGTTGCGGCACTGGAAAGGTGGTACGCGGGTCAAGGCCTTAGTGTATGGAGTACTGATAGGTACCCCGCATGCACCGCTATTCAAAACACTATGCCTCCTGAATGCGAAGGCATGCTGACTGAACCTGTTACCATGGGTAAGTTTATAGGTCTATCGTAATGGGGGGGGGGGGGGGCATTTTAACCATATTTACAGACGCTCTCGCTCTTAATACCTCCGCTGAAGACCGCGTCTGGAGATGGGACAGGGGTGTCAATGTAACCTCATACCCGGAAGGCGCTACAGTACCGACTTGCGGCGACCGAAATCTGAGCAGGAGCTGGGGAGACAGGATCTACTCCACAACTGAGTATGATTTGGCACTCAACTTCCCTATTGTGGATATTATGATGTTCTACCCCACAGTTCCAGTCACTAGAGACGTATCTACCAGGAGCATTTATACAGAGGTTATTTGTTTGAAGCCTGAAAACATACAAGGGAATAGCCGGGCACCGAGGACTGCAAAAGATGTACTCGATAAAAACTATGGTCCGCAGGACGATGAGTCTAGTGCCGAGAGAGCTTTCGGATGGGGTAGCAGGCCTGCGCTGGCACCGGTAGTTAGCATGGTGGTCGTAGTGTGGCTGGGAGTGTGAAGTATCTGAATGTTCCAAATCAGTAAAACATACGTGCATACTCCATTCCCTTAAAAGTAGATAAGTATAACATACCTCACGGGCTCGTGTAATAGTTTTGCCAAGACTAGGCTAGTAAACGGGTACCCCCTACTATAGAGTTTAGTAGAGGTTAGGTTATAGTCACACAGACCTTAGGTATAGATTAGGTTAGATTACTAAGACTTTAGGTAGAGGTTAAGGTTAGGTTATACAGATCTTAAGTTAGGTTAGAGTTAGATTAGATTAGTTTAGGTTATAGTTAGGTTAGATTACTAAGCTCTTAGGTAGGGGTTATACTTAGGCCGTACAGACCTTAGATAGAGGTTTAGTTTAGAGTATCTAATTAGGTATATAACTTAGAAATCTATATTAGTTAATATAATTAGCTTTTATAAATATAAGAAGAAGTAAAAGATTTTATTATATTTATTTATTATAGTTACGTAATAAATAAAACCGCTTTTAAGCTAGTAGAGTTATATTAATATCTCTTAAGTAATTATTTATAATATTACCTATAATTTTAATATTCTAACTCTATTTCTTCTCTATATTAGCTAAAAGAGTAAAAAGATCTAAAACCTTATCTAGTAGTAGCTTATCTAGATTAGTAGTTTAAGTAGACTAATCTAGCTTCTTAGTAATAGTATACTTTAATACTATTATTTACTAAATTATTTAAGTACTAAGATAAAACCTCTAGTCTCTAATTATATTCTTAGTAATATTAGAAACTTATTTAATACTAATCTAGACGATTAGTATAGTAAGAATATTCTTAGTAATCTTAGAAAGATAAGAGTAAGTTAATAAGTTAACTCTCTACTAATACAGAAGGTTAAAATATTTATTCTATTAAATATATAGAGTACTTAAGTATAGCTTACTCTCTAAATAAATAGACTCTTTCTCTTTATTTAAATCTTAGGTAAGAGAGTTCTAGCTAGAGCTANATAAGCTACTAGATTATAATTAGAGTATAGAGAGTTTATAGAACTACTTAGAGCTATATAA